CATTCCTTGCATGCACTTGAGCAAGCGAGCAAGTTCCAAGATACCGGTCATCTCGTGACCCTCAGAACTCTCCACGACCACCTTCTTTAGTTCTTTTTCTTTTTTTCTTTTTTCTTTCTTTTTCCTCCTATGGGGTGTATAAGCATGAGGTGTACACAGGGTAGGCCTCGACATTCCTGTTTCCCATCCGGTGCTCGCGTTGAGTGGACACTGAGGTACAGAAATGGCATATGAGATTCAGGTTTCTCGAAGGGATGTCATGTCATTTACGTGAGGCATTGGGCAGCCATCCATTTAAACCCAACCACGCCATGATCCCCAATAACCTTGATCTGGCCCTTGCCCGGAACAAAGAAGGATCTATTCAAACAGCCGGCAACCGAGTCCAACGTGACATTTTCACAAAGTATCCCGAGTGGGGTAACACATGCATCCGTTCCGACGATGTCCTGCTCTTCAGACACGCGACTTATATCGAAGCGATGTTTGAGTGGAGATGAGCCGATTCACGGTCTGTATCAATGTTGGCTTTATTTTGGATTTTTCCTGAAGATTCACATCCTCGTGTTGGCGTCTGTTGGTGATGATTGCCTTGTTCTCCGTCATATGTGATGGCATACCTTGGAAGTTGTTCATATGTCGACAGGGACTGAATATAAGGTCGATAAGTTGCCCATGCCGGAATACACTTACACCACGTGAGACTGAGACATGACTCGCTATCATGTACCTACGCTGAAAAAATTGGCGACCTACCATCTTCCATGATCCCCGAATGATGATCTGGATGTTCAACGAGCGCTGTGTAACTCGGTTGTGAACAGCCATCGGACTGTATGAAGCCCTGAATGCGCTTATGCAGGTATCGACGTACCGGGGTGTCCTAGGGAGGCATATGCTTTCTCTACACTGCAATAAGCCGGCTATTTGCAAGAAGAATTCAGTCTTTTCTCTTATCTGATCCGCTCATTGACTTATGGATCTTTTTTTTCACGAGGATGAGCAAGACACCTTCTCATCTGCCTGTAGAGGTCCGCTTCGGGCGTTGAGCCTGGCAGTCGTCCAAGACTTTGAGCCTGGACTGTAATATCAGACTTTACATGAGTAGTCGTCGTTGCCTAAAGTGTGAGCTCACGTAAACTGCTCGAAAGCTTCGCACGTATCAGAGACACCGAAGTTTGAGGTGTGATGGAGATGTTGATTGTTTATCAAACCTCTCATCATTCATGAAGACTACCGGATGACACAGGCTCACTGCAGTGAAATGGGCCTCCGACGCCCCTAAAGGAAGTCAAAATTCACCCTTAAAGTTGGTTTTCCTTTCATTTCGGCAACCATCTGCATGGAATGTTGGAAAAGCGTTCAAGAAGAGGAAGAAAACGGGGGAAAACAGGCTTTGCATTCGCTCAGTCACCACTTAGGGCTAGAGCCCGAGCAGTTTTGGGCAAGTCGAATAAAGATTAGATTCAGATCACCGTGATTAATCTGCAAGCAACCTGCCGTACAACTTCTCACTGTTCCGTAGACAGCTACTTGCCCAATCATCGCGTCGCGATATATCAACGGCAACGTCCGTGGTTCCTTTGTCAAGATCTGCCACAGCTGATCTGAGTGAGCTGGCACCAGTGGTGATGGGTAGCTTGGTAGAAATGAGGCTGACAAGAGGCACGACTACGGCGTGGTAACGATGATCACTTTAGGAATTCAAGATGTTGGTTGATAGGCATTTGGTTGTGGTTTGATGGAATGTGAGGAAGTAGCGAGGTCCATCCCATATATTTGACAAAGGCAAAATTAACCGAGAGGAAGAAAGACACAATGAAAGAAGGGTAGAAAAGAAAATTGATAAAGACACAACAACCACGGTTCGAGCACACCACCTCAGTCTGGCCTAATTGAATTCGCTCGTCCCGTTTGCCGCAAAAGAAGGTAGACAATTAAAATGTGCAACGAAAGCGAACAGCCGCTCATTCGCCCCATTCACACGACGGTTAACCGTCGAAACAAGCTCCCACCATTTTGATTCTCATCTCTGATATACTACCCTCTTTTGTCTTCGCCGACATCTGCATGTCCTGCATGGATATCTAGTGGAATCGGTATGCCTACGACATGGTACTGCGCTTCCGAATTTATTTGAAAGGTACATGAGTGCTAAAATATACATATACAGAGTTGAACGCGAGCGAGGCCAGCTACATACCTAATTGGATTATTGACGATTTCTCTTCTTGGCTACCACCACACCTACCCTCTTGGCTATTGGAAATTTCTGAACTTGGGGCTTATATAGTCCAAGCAGAAATCCTGCCGTGGGATTAAGGGGAGGCAGGAGCGATTAAGTGGCTGCTCTGTGTTAATAAAGAGTACGGTTCTACGAACGTTACAAAGAGATATAGAAACGAAACGCAGTAACTTGAAACTGGACTGTTTGATGATCGTCGCTAGTCAATTTCACTACCTTGCTCATCTGTCCGAGTAAAACTCCCAGCTTCAAGATCCATCAGTCATGGCGTGACATTCGTCAAAATCATCAGCTCCCATGACATCTCACACACATCACCAGTTAGCACCCGGCTAAACTCAAGCCAAAGACCCCATAGGATCCCACAACGGCAACACCACCGGTTCCTGCTTCAACACATCTTTCACCTCCTTACTCAAAATATCCACATCCACCACCGCCTGATACACAAACTCATCCATCCATCCATCACTCATCACAAACCACCCCTCCTCGCCCACCCCCGTCCCCCACGAGTTCTGCACCCGCCACCTAACCGTTTTGTTGGTCTCCTCATCTAGATGCACAGCCGTCAACACCATCGCATGCGTCATCAGACTCTCGCCTGTCCGCAGTCTACTCGCCTTATCAGCGCCCAACAACGACACGTTAAACCCCAGCTCGTAATCAATCAAATCTAGATCCATCACCCCCGCTACGCGATCGCTGAACTTGCCCACGTCACTACCGAAGAAGACGGGATACCCGGCCCTAAGCATGCTCACACACGCGGACTTGAGCGTGGCCATGTCCACGTTGATGTACGTGATGTTGCGCCCGCCGACGACGTTACCGAGGCGGTCGACTGTCATGAGAGTAAGAGGTGGGTGGCGCGGGTCGTGCACGAGGGAGACCATGCGGCTGATGGTCGACGAGGTAAGACGAAATTTGGGCGAGTAGATGTCCTGAGCAAAGGCTTTGGGTGTGGAGCGGACAGTGCGCGCCTTGCCGGAGCGGTCGACGAAGGACCAGGTGAATTCGCCGGTGGCGGAGGGAGGAGGGCCAAGGGTGAGGGTGAGAATGGCGTGGATTTCTTTCATCATTTTGGCCTTTGTGTTGCTGAGGGTTTGCTGGGTGGCCGTGCCGGGGTTGGTGGAGGAGGAGGAGAGGAGCTTGCGCAGGACAAGGGCGTATTCGCGCAGCTTGGTGAAGATGATGCTGTTGATGACGCTGCTAGAGCTGGCGTTGAAGGAGTCCGGGTACAACGTCTGCGGGACGAGGCCGTACTTGTCAACGAGATTATAGACCATGTCCCACTGGCCGCCGTCGCTGAGGGGCTCGTGAAGTAAGCGCTGCACGAGACGTGAGTCGAGGTCTTGGTCGGCCGTGGAGATAATCTGCTCCAGAAACCAGTTGCTCTTCTCGAGCTTGTCCCAGAAGAAAAGGTAGGCTTGCGAGAGCTCGAACTGGTCGAGGTTGTACTTTTGCATCAGGGCCACGCGGAAGACGTTGGTGCTAGCGAAGAGCCAGCAGCGCCCGCTTTGCCGCTGGTTGGTGATGGGACCCCCTTCGAACGGGATCTTGATGTTAAATACCTGCTGTTCCGCGATTTTGACTGCGCGTGAAAGGAGGACATCGCGGGGGTTGGCGGCGCTCAGGGCGGACAGGGCCAATCTAGCGAGCGCAAGGTATCAGTAGGTAAGCTTGATCTTACTTAGTTGAGGACGTCTGAGAGTACTATCCTACCTGTTCTTGGGGTCTTCCAGAAGTGTTCCCTCCCATTTCGAGACTGTTGAGAAGGAGAGACCTTCTGGCGTACGGCTTTTGGCGATGCCTGTGATCGTACCCTTCTCACCTATGAGCCCATTCTCAACATGGACGTATTCATCGTCCGTGGTGATAATGGCTTTCTCTTCAAAGGGCAACTTGGACTGCGAGACACCCATAATGTCCGTGGCTGATGAGCTCTAGTAATACTGTTTATCTTGGTGTGTTGATCGAGTTCAAACTCCAAATCGTCACCATTGGATCTCAGCTTGGGTTGATGATGCAAAGACGGGAGCTGGAAAGGGAGCTGGAAAGTCATGCAAAAGATACGGGATCCGATTTGTATGACAGTCATCCGGTGTTGGCACGGACTGAGTCCCTTGATAGCCCGAGGCCCGTACCACTCCTGCCACTCTCACCCTTTCGAACGCGGGGGTACTTGGAGAAAGAGGTCAAGGCTTCTCCTCATTGAGAAGGTGGTTCGAACTCGTAAGTAGTGTCGCATGCCGTGAGGGGCTGCTTATCAATGACCCGCGTCCAACTTGCAGTCGTGCGGCACAGCAATCCTTCTCCCACTATCCGAAGGGGCGAATCATTTTCTTTCCTGGTGGTTGCCTCGATCTATTTGTCTTGTCCTTCAAGACTGTTCAGCATGAGATGACCGGAGACACAGGCTGACCGGACACCACTCAGCTTCATCCCCGGCTACCACGCACCATCAAGACTTTTGGCTCTCCTATTCGTTGACGTGGATTAGCTCTCTTATTGGTTGGCGTGTATTGACTCTTGTTGACTAGTACATCAACAGTTCGACTTACAGAAAGGAGACAAGACACGATTGGCTAGGACGATGATCTTCGAGTTCTACCAATCAGAAGTCGAGGACGTCGCTAGTCTGATGCACCATGTTTGTTCGACACCTCAAGCGAGATCAAGCCATGAACAAGATGTGAACTGACCTTTAGCATCAGAAGAAAGCAGTCACTTTTATTCAATTGCTGTTCACACACAATCAATTGGAACAAGACGGAGCGGGTTTTTTTAAGGTTGTATTACTGACGACTCCTTCCATTACACTTTTCATATACATGGATGGGGAGGGAGCATACTACCAGTACAAATTATCCAACCCATCTTCTAGACGCGCGCAAAAAATCAGACCCAGTATCAGAGAGACCATATCATAACATCCAAGCAGCCCTTATTAACCCAACCGTGTGTCGTGTGTCCGATTCCAGGAAGGGGGAAAGTCATATTATTGAACGGATGACGGAACCCCCGATTTAGAGGCGGGAACCGTGGACGACCTTCATGTCGACGGCCATCTCGCGACCGTGGTCGGAGACGACGAGGACACGGACGGAGCCGCGGCCAGACTCGAAAGCCTTCTGGAGACGGTTCCAGAGAGAGCTCTGGTCAATGACGGGGAGGTTCTGCTTGACATCGCCAGTCTCGGTCATGGCGACGATGGAGCCATCCTGCATGTCGAGAACGCGGTACTGCTTGAAGACGGGGCCGAGCATGGTCTGGACGACGACGCTGGGGGCAGGGTTGGAGACGAAGCTGGACTCCTCATGGAGCTGCTTGGTGAAGAGGTCGACACCGAGGTAACGGTGCTGGCCAGTGGCAGCGGAGGTGGAGATGCGGATGACCTGGCAAGGGCGGCCCTGGAGGATGAGGATATCGCCGAGGCGGATGTGGTGGCAGGGAATGGTGACAGTCTGGGAAGCAGAGCCGGTGCCAGTGCCGGTGGTGGCACGGGGCTGAGCATCAGCCTCAACGTGGCCGTGAGCTGTATTGGAGGAAGACATGGTCAGCTTATTGTTTTGAGAAGACAGACAGACAGACGAGTCAAAGTGTCTGAAGGAAGGATGAAGAATGGGGATGGATGATGGATGATGGGTGCTTACCGTCGTCGTCGTAGTAGCCCATTTTGGAAGATGTGTTGTTGTTGTTGGAAACTTTGACTAGAGAAAGTTCGTTTTCTTGGATGTCGACAGTGGACTCGCTGTAGAGGCTGGGTGCCTTCTTATGAGCCGGACGGTAGGTGGGGAAGTCGACGGTAGTCTCGTCGACAACGATCTTCTCCTTGTAAGAAGTGGATCTAGGGGGTGCAGGGAGTGCAGGGAAGTCGACAGTAGTGTCGTCGACGTGGGTGGACTCCTTGTGGCTGGGACGGTAGCTAGCGACGTCGACGGTGGAACCGACTACGTGACCTTCGTTGTGGTAGGCGGGCTGGAACTTGGACCGGTATTGATGCTCAGCAATGTCGATAGCGCTGGCGCTGTCGGAGGATTGTTGATGATGAGAAGAGGAGTGGTGATGATGAGGCTTTTCGAAGGATGGTTCAGAAAAGTTGTGACCACTGGAGGGATTTGCTGGTTAGATATAGGCGTAGAGAACAGTAGAGACGAGCAGATATGAGAGGGCTTTGAGAGGGCTGGGACCCGAAAAGGGGACTTGGTACAGTATTTTTCCCGCTCCATCCCTTGATCGTAAGTGGACCATGGAGCTAATACAAAAAGGGGAATGTTTAAGAGGCTAGGGGGGTCTGCCGCGCCTAACCATGAGCGGTGAAGCAAAAAAGCAAGCTCAGCAGCTGGTTTACGAGCTCGCCAGCCCCTAGACCGCTCCAGCTAGCCATTTTGCAACGCATTCGCGCGAGACCCAGCCGCTTCTACCAGGGGTCTACCAGCTGGACTGGTTTGCAGCTCAATGTTACCACCGCGGAAGCAGACACACGCCAGCAATCCCACCTGGGCCCTGCCTGAAAAGCGAGTCCGGTTTCGAAACGGAGGCTGGAAGGAAAGGATGGAACGGTAACGGGATGTGGAACGTAAAAACGGATCTTGCACTAGGATAAAAAAAAAATAAAAGAACGCAAGAAAAAAAAAACAATCAACTCACCTGGTGTGCGAGTGCACATGAGTGTGCGAATGGTGCTCCTGAGGCTCCAGAGGATAGTGCGGCGCGTGGTGGTGGTCGTTGTGCTTGGGCTCGGGAACGATCACCGGACCAACGTGGGAGCCATGGGAGCCATGAGAGCCGTGGGAGCCGCCGTGGCCATGGTTGTGGGTATGGATATGCTCCGTCTTGTGCACCTCGACGATATCGTGGTGGGAAGAGTGGTGGGAGTGAGGACGGTGAACCTTGTCAATGAGGTGGTGCTTGTGGTCCTTGTGGTGGTGTTCCTCGTCCCTGGCCGAGTGAGCGCGGTGGATGTGGGGGAGCTTGTCAGTGAGGTGGTCAATGAGGTGGTGCTTGTGCTCCTTGTGGTCCTCCTCCTCGTCGTGGTGGTGGTGGTGGTGATGGTGGTGGTGGCCCTCGTTCTTGTGAAGATGAAGGTGAGGGATATGGGGTGAGTGAGGCTTGTGAGAGTGATGCGAATGGTGAGAGCGATGCGAGTGGGCGCTGGCAGGGCGGTGGTGGTGGTGATGCTCCTTGTGGTGATCTTCCTTGTGAACCTCCTCCTCACGGGTGATGTGGATCTCCTCCTCGACAATGCGCTGCTCTACACGGGGAGGCTGAAGCTCATGGACAGCCGGAGGGACGGGGGCATGATGGTGGTCCTCATGGCCGTGGTCATGGTGAGCACCATGAGCCGGCTTGGTGACCTTGACCTCAACCTTCTCGTGAACGTGCGTATGAGTTTGAATGCCCTTTTCAGGTTCCCGGTACGTAGCCGGGAAGATGCTGAAAGGGACGGGGACACGGGCCTCAAAATCCAGTTTGGCGGTTTTCTACGGCGCAAGAGGCAGTCTTTCCTATCAACCTTTCGATATACGAAAGATTGATGAAAAGAATGACTCTGGCTTCTCTATGAAAAGAAGTCGATTGACGTAGGTGAAGAAGGCGGTCACTGTGCGACCCGTCTTCTTGGACTCGGATTCAGTCGATTCCTCTGCGAAGAGGGTATAGAAAAGGATGGGGATTCCGAAGTTGTTGTGGTTGATTGTGAGTGGCCGGATGCTGACTGGGGAAGATGGTAAGGAGAAGATCAAGACTGCCAAAGCTACCACGAGCAAGGCCGGTTCAAATAATGAGCGGAGTGTGCGTCTGGGGGAATTACGGGACCACCGTTACCGATTGTGGGAGGTGGTTGGCCCGGCCTTGTAGGGAGAATCACAAGCAAAACAGGGCGATACGGAGGGAGACGGAGGCTCGCTGAGCCCCGCGTGGGCGTCGACGACGGCGATGTGCATCTGAAGTGCGGGAGAGTTTCTTGGGGAGATGGAGATGGGGGGGTCTAACACTCCAGAGGGGGGGTCCTCCAATGGGATCGCTGGCGAGCGGTGTGTGACAAGACAGATTCGCTGGCGAGAGAGCTTCATTTTCTGCCAAAGCTAGGTAGAACTGCCCCTGGGGGATAAACCTCACTCAACCCCAGGCTTCAGCTACGCGGATCGCGTGGATCTCATAGCAGCGAGAGCCTCTGAAAGGAACCATAACCATTCCACAGCACCCACTGATCCAGTATCAAGCCAGTGTAGGCTGCCGAAACAAATGCCCAGTGGCCAGAAGAGTGGACGGTCAAATGGTGATGTCCGGGCAGTGGTAGGTACTGACGGGTTGATAAAAGGTTTGGAGATGGGATGGACAGGAGGAATTGTGGGATTTCCAGGTCCCGGCTGTGCGAATATCCACCATTTTTCCTATTCTTTTTTGCCCGTTCTGACGGGTTTGCGGCGCCGCGGCGGTTCTGCTGTTCATCTGTTTACGCACATATGGTGTGGGGAACAGCTTGTTTATCGAAAGCAAAAGGGGCTTAGTGCGTTGCCAAGGGTCCGTATTGATCCCCACGCCATCGGCCACGATTGCCTCCTGATTCGTCTCTGTTTGCTCGGCCGCCCGGTACCCGTTCCCCAGCGAGTCCCCAGCAAGTCCCCAACCCCCTCGCCAATCTCGTTCTGGGATCAGCCAGCTACGGCCAGCGAGGCCCGAGACCCAATCGAGCTTAGGTTCAAGCTCCCCGGAGACCACGATGGGAGCTCGAGATGAGCTGAACCTGAGCGGAGCAGGCAAGCATCACATCGCCTTCGATTCGATCAAACGTCGCGGCCGACCCATTCGATCGGCGAGCATGACTTGTTACCTCTCGCCAAGTGCCAACCACTCGCAATCTAAATAACGACGGATCCGTGCTCGTACCCAGTTCTCGCAGTCATATACCGCCAGTTTTCCCGAGGTTGTCGCTTGCTTTTTCAGCAGCTCCGCTGAAGCCGTCATCAGGTTCTGGCAGTCAGCTAACTGCTGAGACCAGCTAGATGAAACGCCAGGACAGGACCTGTTCCAGAAATTGTGCGACGGCTGTGTAAAGCCTGTAGTGTACATAGACAGGTCCAGCCTTCAATAGTCGCCCAGAGGCTGTCATGGGTAGGCAGATTGGATGCCAATGGTGCTCTCATTCCTTTCCAATCGTGACAGGCAACGGACCGCAACAGTGGCTCGGCTGGTCCACTACTCAGCGCTGCATCTGCACGCCACTCATGTCGGTTGGGAAGCCCCCCAGGTCAAGGAGGGGAGCGAGGGGAAGAGATGGAGAGTGAAGACATGGGGAAGGGCATGGCTGTCGTCACGACGACAGGCCGCAAGGTCGGACCAGCCATTCATTCCTTCATCATCACCACCATCATAACTAACACCATCGCCACCAAACAAACAGAGAGACAGAGAAGCCAGTCGGGGACCACAGAAAGACCTCGGGTTTGCTGCAACACGAGGCGTGGTTCAGCTCCATAATCGGTGGCTGGGAAATGATGAGCAGCGATTTCGATCCCTTCAGCGATACCCTAGCAGCGACCTGCAGTAGAGCTGCAGGCTAGAAGCCGAAGACCTGAGTGGTGGATCAATGGAAGCTGTGGGTATCAGTTGGCGTTTCCGACAAAAGTCTCGACCCCTTTCCCAGCCTCTCTCTCATTCATGTTTCCAGTGTTGTCCTCTGCGGTTATTGTCGCGAAGGGAAAAGTGTAGCAAGCGCATGAGGTAACCATGGGACGTTTCCATTGGGCTGTTTAAGAGATTCAGCCCTCCATGAAGCGCTTGGTCTCTCATGTGGATAACCGCCTACCCAAGCACTCAAGCCAGTGGTAGGCCGATGAATAGCGGGAAACGGCCTCGCCGCGTGTTGTCGGTCTCGTCGCGGCTTTACCTAGTCGCGGAGGAGTCTGTTCCACCAGCCAACGTGTTTACTGTCTGACAAATGGCGCCGTGAACGTGGGATGTTGGCAACATCCGTCATCAGGCAACCCAGTTTACATACGGGCTTTTGTTAAAATGAAACCGGTCGATCGATGTGTGTCTGGGATTGGGCGGCAGATCTGATTGGACCCGGCGGCCACGGTGTTCATAGCGTAGTAACGGCAGCGTTCTCCTTTCTGCCGTCTGACGCCTCGGTTTTGCGTCGGTTTTGTGGTTCTGGATCAGCACGTTGTAACGCGTTCCTGACGCTAGCTCAGATTGGGGATAACACGCCAGTCCCCTCCTCTTCCATTCCCTTCCCTTCCCTTTCCTGGTGATAGTTGGTGGCACATGTCCACAGAGCCTTACCGACGGGATGGAGGAGAGCGGTTCCGTTCCGATCTACACGTGTCGAAGCCTTTGACGGAGTGGAAGTTCGGCAGAAGCAACTGTTCTTGGACGTCTGCCGCTGGATACGATGTTCGCAACACGGCCTCGGAGGACCGGATCTCGGGATACGCAATGTGTGGTGGAGGAAGATGGCAAAGGGGAAATGACAGGAGGACGCCGCACCACTTTTTCCCACCCAGACGGCGCACATATCCCGCGAGTTTTCTTGGTTCGGAGGCTCTATGCGATACGTCCGTGTACGTAGCAGTGTACGCTGTTGTCGTAGTAGCTGCGGGCCTTGCGCACGTCACGTCACGGCACTGATTTTCCTTCGCCCCTTGCAGTCCCCGTCCCGTGCCGCTCGTCCCCTACATTACATTTGCCCTGCTGCTGCGTGCTGCTGCCAGGAACAAGTGAACAGCTGGCGATGCTGCTGGCTAGCGCATGCACAGCCTAGGACCACATCGGCGGTGGTCGAGTGGGTAAAAGTGTTCGTGGACGTCCCACCTGCTAACACACTACAGAGCACCGACAACACCAACGCATTGTGATCGCGACGACGAGACAACTTTCGGTGTATCTATCCACAGGAGCCACAGATCAGCAGCATGCTGGCCAGATGGCACTCTGCAGTGTAGTGTAGCAACAATCCGTCCTCTCTAGCCAAGCAAGCCAGCCGCTGATGTTCATGAAACTAGAGCAGCGGTTCCGGCGGCTGGCGATCTCCACGATGGGCTCGCCTCTCTCCCCTTCCAAGCCACGTCTCTGTGTGTCTTCTTTCTGTGGGCAGGCAGTAAACAGCCTAGAATACCTAAGTCATGTGTCGAGTCGACTCGACCCGGATCTCAGACGGGCCGTCCAGGGCTGTTCGACAGCGTTTCACCCTGTGTCTCCGGGTAGTCCCGCCCGGGCCAGACAATGCTTGTTTGTTGTGTTGGACCGAGTGTGTCCCACTGTGACAGTGAGTGAGCCCGTGTAGGAAACGATTGAACCAACAGACATTTGCGACTTCGTAGATGAGATGAACATCTGATGGAATCGAGCCTTGAGGCTGGACTTTCAGCCAAACCGACCAACGAGCAAAGTACTCCCGAGTTGATCGTCTAACCATCGATGGCTATCTCGGTGTACCGGACTCGTGGAGATGTTGAAGAATTCCTCACCTATGTACAATCTGTGATGCGCAACGCCGCGATTTGGAATGGCGACATCGTAGTTGGCGACAACGTAGTTTCAGATGAAATGAAGTGAGAGCGCCCACAGCTTCCTCTTCCTCTGCCTTCATGCCACTATTTACCCACCCAGTCCAGAACGAGCATCGCATCCATGAAGCACGACTGCTCTGAAGAGGAAAACCTCAGGATGCATTGGCAAAACCGCATTGCCTTCTCCATCATCGTAGGCATGGTGGCCGGTGCCTTTGCCTTTGCGCTCACATATCAATGCTTTCGTGACTACCAACGTCGCCGTACCCTGCCGAGAGGGGCAGACGAGTCTCCTCCGGCTGAGGTCTGACTTTGCTCCTCCGTCTCCGTGTTGTGTATTTCCTTGAGGGCAGGATCATGATGGTGCCGGCTTGAACCCAACACCTACAGAACGAACAACGAGCAGCGGTCACTATGATTGGCCCACTATATTCGTTGCTACCTCCCACCTCGATGAAAGTGGAAGGGCTTGGACGGACTGGTCGTGCTGACGTAAGGCGCTCGGCAAGTGACTGTTTGCCCAGCAAAAGTAGTGTACCCAGATACCCCACCACCCCGCCATGACATCTTGTTGCATTGTTTTGGACGGCCGAAGCGATTCAGAGAAAACCCGACCTTACCATCACCCCGTTATTGATATCGTTACGGCCCGAATTGAGCTCAAAGTCGGTGATCACAAAGGCCATTATTAGCCTCCATGAAGCAGCGATTCTCCTCTCTCGACGTCAGGGTGGTGGCCCACGAGCTCTCGGAAGCTCTGGTGTCGCTGCGCCTGGCCAACATCTACGACCTCAACTCCAAGATCCTCCTCCTCAAGTTCGCCAAACCCGACAACAGGCAGCAGCTCCTGATCGAATCCGGTTTCCGCTGCCATTTGACTGACTTCGTGCGCACCGCTTCGCCGGCACCCAGCCAATTCGTCGCCAGGCTTCGCAAATACCTCAAGACCCGGCGTTGTACCTCTGTCTCGCAAATTGGTACCGATCGCATCATCGAGTTCCAGTTCAGCGATGGTGCCTTTCGACTTTACCTCGAATTCTTTGCTAGCGGCAACATTATCCTTACCGATTCCGACCTCAAGATCTTGGCTCTGCTCCGAAATGTTCCCGAGGGCGAAGGCCAGGAACCCCAGCGCATTGGTCTGACCTACACGCTCGAAAACAGACAGAACTTTGGAGGTGTTCCTGCCCTGACCAAGGAGCGTCTGAGGGATGCGCTGCAGAGCACAGTCCAAAAGGCAGCCGCTGATCAGGCTGCCGGTAAGAAGATCAAGAAAAAGGGCGCCGACGAGCTACGAAGGGGCCTTGCGACCACCATCACGGAGCTACCGCCCATTCTCGTCGAGCATGTCTTCCGCCTCGCCAGCTTCGACCCAGCCACCAAGCCTGCCGAAATCCTGGATGATGATTCCCTCCTAGACAAGCTATTCGACACCCTCCAGCAAGCACGAGAAATTCTTGACGAGGTCACCGATTCCTCCGTTTCCAATGGTTACATCATCGCCAAGCCTAGGTCCGGGTTTGAGGATACAGAGTTGGACGTCGATGCGCCACCAGCCGAAAAAGCAAAGACCCTCCTCTACGAGGATTTCCAACCGTTCCTGCCCAAGCAGTTCGAGGATGACAAGGCATATCGTATCTTGCCGTTCGTCGGCTACAACAAAACAGTCGATGAATTTTTCTCATCCCTCGAGGGACAAAGGCTAGAGTCCAAGCTCAGCGAGCGTGAAGCAGCTGCCAAGAGGAAGCTCGAAGCTGCCCGTGTGGACCAAGCTAAGCGAATAGAAGGGCTACAAGAGATGGAGATGCTAAACTACCGCAAGGCGGCGACCATTCAAGCCAATATCGAACGTGTCCAGGAAGCCATGGATGCCGTGAACGGCCTGCTACAGGAGGGCATGGATTGGGTTGACATCACGAAACTGATTGAAAAGGAGCAGAAGCAGGGTAACCCCGTTGCAGAAATTATCAAGTTGCCGATGAAGCTGAAGGAGAACACCATCACATTACTGCTAGGAGAAGGCGTGGAAGAAGAGGACGAGGGCGACCAAGACAAAGAGGATGATGAGTTCGATTACAGCGATTCTGAAGACGATGCCGACGGGGCAGAAACCACCAAGGACAAGGCGCCAGTCAAACGCCTTGAGGTCGACATCAACCTGACACTTAGCGTTTGGAACAACGCCAGAGAATATTACGACCAGAAGCGAACAGCTGCTGACAAGGCGCAAAAAACGGTCCAGCAGTCGGTTATCGCCCTGAAAAATGCCGAGCAGAAGATCGCCGAAGATCTCAGAAAGGGTCTCAAGCAAGAAAAACCAGTCCTCCAACCCATCAGGAAGCAAATGTGGTTCGAGAAATTCACCTGGTTTATTTCCTCAGACGGTTATCTCGTTCTCGGAGGCCGTGATGCTCAACAGAACGAGATGCTATACAAGCGGTATCTGAGGAAGGGTGACGTTTACGTCCACGCCGATGTTCACGGAGCTGCAAGCGTTATCATCAAGAACAACCCAAAGACACCTGATGCACCAATTCCGCCGTCGACGCTTGCTCAGGCTGGCAATTTGTCGGTATGCTGCTCTAGTGCTTGGGACTCCAAGGCTGGCATGGGGGCCTGGTGGGTCAATGCCGACCAGGTGTCGAAAAGCGCACCCGCTGGTGAATACCTCCCGGTAGGATCGTTCATGGTCAGAGGGAAGCGCAACCTCCTGCCTCCGGCGCTACTGACGCTTGGCTTCGGTCTACTCTTCAGGGTATCCGAGGACAGCAAGTCCAAGCATACTCGCCATAGGGTCTATGATTTTGTAGAAGGCAAGACAAAAGGTCGCGCTGACTCTCTGGATGCCCTGTCAGAACGTGCAGAGAGCCCGCACGAGCAAAAGCCAGTGGCCGGTGAAGAGTCTGAGAGTGATGACGATGACGAGGATGCCGCAGACCAGAAGGAAAGAGCTAACCCCCTGCACTCGCAGCGATCTGGACAAGTCGGTTCTGTGGAAAGCGATGCTACCCAAGGCACAGAACCTCCAACGGAGGAGCTTGCAGACCTTGAAATTATCAAGGAGGAATCCGTGAGCAGTCCCGATGAGAGCATCAAGTCGCCGGCGGAACTGGAACCTGCTGCAACACAAAATGAAGAGGAGGAGGAGGAGGAGAACGATGAGGAGGAAAAGTCAAACCAGCCATCACCTGCAGCCAAGACCGGCACTCCCTCGTCATCAACCGCCCCTCAAAAGCAACAGTCTGCGAAGAAGGCGCCCGCCAAGCGTGGCCAGCGCGGCAAGCAAAAGAAGATTGCGGCCAAGTACAAGGACCAAGACGAGGAGGACCGCGCCCTTATGGAAGAGCTGATGGGTGTCAAGGCTGCCCGTCAGAAGGCCGAAGCCGAAGCCGCGGCTAAAGCCAAGGCAGAAGCCGAGGCTGCTGCCGCTCGCGAGCGCCGCCGTCAACAACAGGAGCGTGTCAAGAAAGAGATCGCCGAGCACGAAGAGGTCCGTCGTCTCATGATGGAGGAAGGCGAGGACATGCCTCTGGACGAGTCCGAGATGGCGATGGAGATGGCGCCACTCGAGACGCTTGTGGGTAACCCGCTTGCGGGCGATGAGATCCTGGAAGTGGTGCCGATCTGTGCGCCATGGAGTGCTCTGAACAAGTTCAAGTACAAGACGAAGCTACAGCCCGGAAATACGAAAAAGGGTAAGGCAGTTAAAGAGATCGTTGAGCGGTGGAGGTTGGCGAGCGGCAAGAAGGGCTGGATCGACGAGTCGTCGTCGGATCCGGAGAAGATTTGGCCGAGAGAGATGGAGCTTATCAAGGGACTCAAGGTTGAAGAGGCTTTCAACTGTGTGCCCGTCGGAAAGGTCACTGTGATGCAGTCTGGTGGCCTTGCTGGCAGTTCGAGTGGAGGAGGGTCTGGGAAGGGTGGTGGTAAGGGCGGAGGTAGTGGCAAAGGCGGAAGTGGTAAGGGAGGGAAGGGCAAGAAGAAATAGTCTTGAAACTCGTTGGAGAAGCGAAAGGCATTTTTTCTATAACAGACATTAGAGTCCAGCGAAGCTATCAAAGCAGACGCATGGTAAACGGTCTCGGAGCTCATCATCAAGTGTTCCACGCCAGGTATTGACAATGGAGACGGCAATGTATGTATGAGCTAGTTCAGCGTAAGCTTTGATAACAGAATAATGTTTGACATTACGAATCTCGGCCGAGTACCAGCGCCGTGGTGACGGGAATAGCCTCATCACAACCCGTTGTGACAGCAGATCAGGAAGACTGCAGAATCTCAAGGGTACCAAGGTAAATGGTAACTAAAGGAGAACACGAACGCCTCTTGCCAAGCAAACGCAATGCAGGCCCCAACCGCTATGTACGTGTGCGAGCACAGACCACTGCACTGACGTCTTAGCTGAGGGCAGATTTTCGGCGCCGTGACCGAGCAAAACAGCGGGCAGAAGCGGCAAGGCAAGTAGTAGGATGGGCGCCGTGCCGACGGCGGTTCCGGAGGGTAATCAAAAGCCCGAGGGCTCCAGTCGGCCGCTCCAGTCCGCTCCAGCAGCCTCATCCAGGGGCACCTATCCATCCATCCATCCATCATCATCATCATCATCCACCCCAGCAAGCCCGCTTCCAGAATCCAGAATTTCGGCCTGCAACGCACCGCAACTGGAACCCGAACCCGACTCTTTTCCTGACCACGCTGTTCACTGCCTCACCTCAGCTTACGATAGTTTTATTCTTGTGAATACCAGCAGCTGCCTCACTTTACACCAGTCAGAACTTTACCTTTTCCCCCTATCTTCCCTCCTTTCTCTAGTCGCTTCATCTCGTCCACACAACAACCCCCTGTCCGCCGATTTTCCGCACCAAGCATATGCAAGCTACTGCCAACTTGAACAACTGGCCCCCGATAACTCTTTAATTCACCGAATTCCCGGTTTTCGACCTTTTCGTTTCTCTACTTGACACTTGCAAGAAGCGGAACCTTCGGACACCCGTTTAATTGACTGCGCCGAGCTCGATAAACCAACCGGCCAAGCAAGCTGCAGCTCTACAGTAGTCTTGCTACTACAACTTCAAATCATTGCGCAGTGTGTTTCCTGGTGTTCAGCCCAGGAACCCATACAACAGAAACCATGCCGGCCACCGAGAAGGTCAGCCGTGGAAAGGATGCTGAGCCACGGGAGAACATCTACCTATTTGTGCCAAACTTGATCGGTACGATTTTGCGAATCCATGCTTCCACCGCACCGCTTCCACTTCCTACGCGGCCGCGGGCCTTTCTTTCTCTCCATGCGCCTTGCGCTTGTGTAAATCC